ATTTAACATTTAGATTTAAATTTAGCATTTAGATTTAACATTTAGATTTAGATTTAATATTTAGATTTAACATTTAGATTTAGATTTAGCATTTAGATTTAACATTTAGATTTAGATTTAGATTTAGCATTTAGATTTAACATTTAGATTTAGATTTAGCATTTAGATATAATATTTAGATTTAGATTTAGATTTAATATTTAGATTTAAGCTTTAACATTTAGGTGCCACATTTAATATTTAGATTTAACTATTTAATATATTTCTAATTTAACAAATATTGCTGTAAATGTGGTAAAAGGTGACGTTAAAAAATTCACAACACTTTTTTGAACATTGTTTGAAGCTAAATGTGGCAAAATGTTGATGTTATTTTTAGCGTGAGCCACTTTACAAACGGCACCCCATAGTGATCCTAATTGAATCAAATTAGAAATTGGCTTAGTGAGAAACAGCTTTTCCCCAAACACAGTTTATAAAATCCAGTGCCCTAGGACTGTCAACATCCACCTTTGATCAGCATAGCCAGCTATGACGGACACCTGAGACTACAGAAGTTAACAGAGTCTGTGAAGAGAGTAGCACAGAGAGCCAAACAGGCCTTCCCCTCCAGGATCATTGTCTCCACCATCATTTCATGAAGAGACTTCCATCCTGACAGTTCACCCATATTCACCAGGCTTCATCCTGCACCACATCCTACTAATCCAGCCCAATATCACGCCACGAGGAGCTCTGCTGATGCGCTGATGACACCATCCAGCACTGACAACACTGCAGACCTGAGAGAGATCACCTGCTCAGGCTTATATGTACATACCAGATTTATGTGCTGTGATACTTGAATATGTTGTGAACACTATTCATATGTACGACTGTTTGACTAATCAGCCAAGTGCTAATCCCAAGCTCCATATAGACCACCACTGTTTACAAAAAATTATTTATTTTCACTGTGTATAAAAGAAAACATCTTACCTAACTTTAACCGCCCTCTTCCAATTAGGACGTTTGTGCCAAATTTGAATAAATTCCCTCAAAGTGTACTTGAGATGTAGCATTCAAAATAATGATGATAATAAAGGATGATAATTATTTTGCATATGCAATTAATGACTGTATATAAGAAAACCAGAAGTGGCATTAGACACCAACCTGATGAAGGGAAGCACAGAACGTTTGTTGAATAATGCATCATGTACCTGAGAAGAGTAGTGGAATGTGTTTTAAGTGTGATGGACTTGCATTGAAGCTCAACATGGTTTGCACCATGCTGTAAGTGAATTAATTAAAATTCATATTAAAATTCAAATTTTATTGTATGATGGCTGTACGATTCTGAAACAGCTGAAAAAAAAGAACAAATACAGTTGAAAAAGTCAACATTTTCTGACAATATTG